TTATTGAACTAGTTCAAAGCCTGCAGACCAGCAGTAAATATTAATGTTATGCTGCTGAGGAAGTAATTAAACTGTCAGGAAAGAGTTTGTTCACCACACGGACACGAAACCAAAACATCTGATAATAAAAGTTAATAAAACAAGTTTTTAACACTGAATTATTAAAAAGTGCAAGTAAAGATCATCGGCTTCCGCCAAAACCACGCTGAGACGAACAAAGACGGTGAAAAGAGGCGACGTGTGTTCTCAGTTTTTCTCAGCAGGGCTGCTCTCTGAGGAGGAGGAGCTGCCCTCCGGCCCCCCGCCGGAGGAGGAGGTGAGGGCCGGGGCCGAGGTGAGGCTGATGGGGACGACTCTCTCCTTCCCGTCAGTCGCCGGTCTCTCCCGCGGCGCCTGGATGTGCAGCCGGCCGCCCACCAGCGAGCAGGTGACGGCCTCGGGGGCGACGCCGTCCGGCAGGTCGAACTCCTGCCGGAACTCCTGACACCTGTAGGAGGAGCAGCCCTTCTCGTCCTCCGTCTTCTTCTCCGTCCTGCCGCTCACCCGCAGTTTCCGGCCCACTTGTTTGACCGACAGCTCCTGCGGTGAGAACTCCTTGGTGTCCAGGCTGAGGGCGAAGCTGGCGCCGTCCCTGCCCGGCTCCTCCTGGAAGGCGATGGGCTTGAAGACCCCCGTGTAGGACGAGGTCTGGTCGATCTCCTCGAAGATCCTCTGGTGCAGCCGCTCCATGTACTCCATGCTCTGCCTCATCTCCTGCATGTGGCGCATCATCTCCTGCTCCAGCTGGAAGAAGAGCGGCCGGGTCTCGGGCCACAGGCTGCGGACGGGCCAGTGCAGGTCCAGGAAAGGCCTCATGGTGACGGGGGACGGCTGGAAGACGCTGGGACACAACATCCTGACGGTGGTGGAGGTCTGGGTTCAGATCAGCAGCTTCAGTCTGACTGACTGTCTGACGCTTCTCTGCTCTTTATATACGAACACACGCCCTGTCGGAAAGTTCGAGCTGCATTCCTGTGTGTGTGTGTGTGTGTGTGTGTGTGTGTGTGTGTGTGTGTGTGTGTGTGTGTGCGCTCACAGTCTAAATGCAGCCCGGCTGGTATTCCTGCAGCCTGCTGCCACATGCCGACACATCTCAGCTTTGTTCTATTTCTGCTGCAGGACGCCGTCATGGTCTTTATACAGCAGGTGAAAACACACACTGACACACTCGTGCACACACACACGCTCACCATGAGTCAGTGTAAGCGACAGTCCCGCCGCTGTTTTTCTGCCCTTGTTTCTCAGAGGTTCATTAAACGAGCTGCTGGAGGACGGACAGCTGATCATGAGGTCAGCTGCTCATCTGACTGTTATAACCGTCAGGGTGACTGTTTGTGCTTCACTTTATAAAGACATGATGTCAGAACACAAGTCGTCACGGTGGAGACTCGCCTGCTCGCTTACTCGGCTGCAGTTTTCTATTATTATATATAATCAGTTAAACATATGAGACAGTATTTCATGTTGATGACTCAGAACAACAAAGTAAAAAACAGCTGTTTGCTGATCGTTTGTGAAGAGTGAAAATAACACCCTGCACCATCGTCAACTGAACGGATCATTTCTGTATTTTTAGACGCCGGTGGAAACCAGAGTCAGAGCCTCTCCCTCGTTTCCTCCGGCGTCTTCCTGCAACAACTCTCCTCTCACGAGATTTCAGACCTGTTCTTGAGCAAGACTGAGGTGAGGGGGTCACCGGGAGTCCCTCGTAGGGATCCTTCCCATGACGTTGTGACACCTGATGCAGAAGGAATACTCTGCTGTCGGTTCAGCTGCCGGCTGAAACATCTACTGAACGGATTCAAAGCGACTTACATTCGAGGAGCAACATGCAACGAGAAAGCATCAAAAACAGCACGAGTAAGGAGATGAAAGAAGAAGAGCACAGGAAGCGTATGTTAGAGGTGTTATAAGAGGAAGTGTTCTCGGAACAGATGCGGTATCTGCTCACCCTGCTGCCTTCCTTGCTATGTAGCAGAGGGGAGTTCCAAAACTCAATTTCACTCTATAACCTTTTATATTGTGACAATAAATGTACCTACGTAAGAGTCATGTCAACGCCAGCGTGTGGAAACGGGGACCAGGTTTAAACATACAGAACTGATCCTTTTCTTGAATTTCCCTCAGGATAAAGTATCCATCTGTCTTTAGACATCAGAGCTCTTCTCCAGAGCTGGATGACGTATTCAGATCCTTTACTTAAGTAAAACTGTTAAAATTTAAAATAGTCATCAGAATAAAGTTCCTATACGTCATGAGATTATCACTCGGCATGCGTTCATGTAAAAGCAGGATTTTACTGTTGTCGGTCGAGGTTGAACTGGTTGGTTAATGATTCTTTTCATTCTGGATCAGCTGATTATTTTCTCTATTAATTGATTGTAAAAACTGTGAAAATAGTTACTCAGAGCCCAAAGTGACTCCTTCACGTTTGTTCTGTCAGTCCAAACCTCAACATGATTAAAAATACTTTGAATAATAAAAAGCAGAAGCAGCAGATCTTCACATCAAATGTTTTTACATTAACTTCAACAATTAGAGTTGCCAATTACATTTCTGTCAATCAAATTAATGGACCAGCTGTACTTGTACAATCTGTTGGAGTTTAATTTATAACTAAACATATTTTATAAACTCTTCATGTGTTTGTGTGTAAAAATCAGACTTTGTAAAGTAAGTGAAGCTGTCAGATAAATGTAGTGAAGTAAAAATATCTCCGTCTGAGCTGGAGGAGAAGGAGAAAGTGGCATGAAAAGAAAATACTCAAGTAAAGTACAACTTACTCTAATTTGTACCTAAGTACAGTACTTGTGTAAGTGTACTTGGTGTCCACCTCTGTTACTCTCGCGTGAGTTTATTGCACTGTTCACACATAACGCGATAACGCGAATAAACGACCCGCCACTACTACAGCTGTGTGAACCCTAAACAAACATTTCGCTGTGATTTTATCTCAATAAACGGATCAAACTGATTCCGAAATAACGACAACATGATGTTGATGTGTTAAACATATGAATTCATGCTTTGTCAGGTCTGTCAGCAAGTCAGCAGGACAACAACTTCTAAAACGTTTGTTTTCTGAATGGAGTTCGGATCGATCAGGTCCGTGCTACGTTAACTTGTTCACAGTAAAAGTAAAACGACAACTGGAGTCAAATAACAGACACATATTTTCTTCGTCGCTTACTGTCTACAAGTAAAGTGAAGTTCAGGTTATCATAGAAATATATAGTGTAACAGAAGGGCTGTGAGTGAAACGTCATGAGTCTTTGATATATATACTGAAAGAGAGACGTTACGTTGGTACCGGGGGATTAGCTCAAATGGTAGAGCGCTCGCTTAGCATGCGAGAGGTAGCGGGATCGATGCCCGCATCCTCCACAAGCTTCCTTTTCCCGCAGAAGACAACCTGAGCTCACGTGGACTGACTCCTTCTGTTCAAACGTTTTAAGATCCTGTTAGCCACGGCACAGATCAGAAAATTCTCCTCTGTGTGTTTTGGCTTGAAGCAGACATGTTGTGGCAAGTTAGGTTTTAAAGAGACGTCGCTCTGTGAGAGAGAGGTTCTGAGAAATCAGAAGGAAAAACGCGTCCAGACGAGTTTTACCAGGTTCAAGAGTCACCGAAGTCATCCGGGAAGTTTCCTCCTGAGTTGATTAAAGAATAATCTGAACGGGTTCAGCAGATTAGGACGATACTAACTCATTTCCAGGAACTTTAAACTCAGAATAAAATGTATGGAACATACATAGTAGTAAACAAGTAAAGTAGAGTAGTAAACAACAACAATGTATAATGCAACAAGTACACACCAACAACGTGTAATATAACAAGTAAACAACAATGTGCAATACAACAGTAAACAACAACGTGCAATAAAACAGTAAACAACAACGTGCAATAAACAAGTAAACAACAATGTGCAATACAACAAGTAAACAACAACAGGATATAAACAAGTAAACAACAATGTGCAATACAACAAGTAAACAACAACAGGCAATAAACAAGTAAACAACAACGTGCAATAAAACAGTAAACAACAACAGGAAATAAATAAGTAAACAACAACGTGCAATAAACAAGTAAACAACAATGTGCAATACAACAAGTAAACAACAACAGGCAATAAACAAGTAAACAACAACGTACAATACAACAAGTAAACAACAACTACATGTAATACAATAACTAAACAACAACAATGTGCAATACAAGACAGTGTACGTAGGCTAAGAGTTACAAACACCAGCAGTTAAACTCAGAATTACACAGCAAGCAGTATAAATACACACAGTACCCGCAGTATTGAAGGCTATTTACTATTAATGAAGTTTTGTCTGTGAAGTACATGAAGCTCGTACTACTTTTGCTAATTCTACCCCACTATAATGCAAACAGGAATAAATACATACATAAATACTTTACCTACATGAAGCTGATAATACCGGAGTACATTTACTGCTGATACTTTAAATTAAGCTGACAGTATTGCTACACTGTAGTAATAGTACTTTTACATAAGTTAAACCTGAGTACTTCCACCCCCAGTGTACAGTACTACACCTGTGGTGGAAAGGAAGTAGCCTACATACTCAAGTACAAACATGAGGAACTCGTACTTTACTGCATTACATTCCAGAAACATTGTACTTTATACTGCACATGTATTTGACGGCTGCAGTTACTTTTCTGATGAAGTTTTGCAGATTGCAGATTAGAGTACTCAGTAGTGTATAAAAATACATCTCACTGTAGCCAGAGACTTACACAGTACTTGTACTTGTGTGTACTGCCTGTCAGTAGTTTGTATTTGGCTCGCAGAGCTGACAGGAAGACACCATATAAGGCGCGCGGAAGTGATGACGCCGCTGGAAGCTCTCCGTCACGTGGCCTGAGCTGTGACGTGTCTCCGGGGTTTCCGGTCATGGCTGCTGGCTGCGCTCCCCGTGCCCGGTTTACCGGCTGTGGTCCGGCCGACGGACGACGCCCGGGCGAGCAGGACCGGGAGCCGGACTCTACCGGAGCGTTCGCGCTGTTAGAACCCGCAACACAAAGAGCGCGAGAGCACCGGAGCGTTCCGCGTGCAGCCCGGTGTGCTCGCTCCCGGCTCTGCCCAAACATGGGCTTTCCTCCCCGCCATATTTGGGAACGTACGTCACGCAGGAGTCTTTATAAAGCCGGGGATCCTCATTGAAGAAGTGACAGAGCTCAAGTTCAAGTTCTCACCGTCCGCACGTGGAAACACCAACCGGAAACACACATCTGATGTTGATCACTTTCTCTGATGACACAAAGATCCTAAAATAAGATCTGAGACCCCGGAACCTGGACCCGAACACCCTCCAGCGTTGGATTCCTCCGAGCACCACCGCCCTGAGCAGCAGCAGCAGCCCGTGCAGAGCGCCTCTCCGCCGGGCTCAGCAGCGCAGAGCGGCTCGGTGCTCCCGCAGGAACAGTCCGGTACTCCGCGGCTCCAGCAGCGGCTGAGCTCCGCACCCACCGCCGCTTCTCCCTCTCCTTCCTCCAGAGACATGGCAGCGACCAAAGCGGAACTGCTCCTGTCCGCCCTGCAGCTCTCCGACCCTCTGGCCGGCCTCCCGCAGCCTCTCTCCCCGCTGGACGGGTACTCGAAGCTGGAGGAGCTGCAGATGCTGCTGCAGAACGCCGCGGCCGGAGGTTCGCTGCTGGCCGCGTCTGCGGCGGAGGCGGCCGGGCTGCTGAGCGCGGAGCCCGGAGAGTACGGAGGTGAGGACGGGCAGTGTTTTCACAGGATGTTTAGAGATGTGAACACACAGCTCCTTCAGCTGTAACTCAAATATAATATAACATGCAAAGAGTGAAAGCGTAAAATAAGTTTGTCAAACTGAGGTGTTGCAGAATTTAAGGCTGTTTCTTAGTTGATGGTTAACCGTCATAATAAATAACCGTTAATAATTAAACAGTTCAACTGTTCCAACCGCTGATCTGATGTCAAGTCTGAATAAAGATTAAAAAGATTCAGCAGCTGTCAGATAAACTCTGACGTAATCACTACTGAGTCAGCTGACTCACAGCAGCCAATCAGATCAGAGCACACTTCCTTCTCAGGTGCTTCAGGTAATCAGCTGTTCTTCTTCTCTCAGATTGTCTGTCGGAGCTCCCGGACCTGCAGAGTCTCCCTCCCCTCACCCCCCGCCTCCCCCCTCTGGCCTACAGCGGCCGCTTCACCTTCGAGCCGGCGGCCTCCGGCGGTGGCGGTGGCTTGTGGGCGGAGCCTCTCCTCAGCCTGTTCACGGGGTTGGTCAGCATGGCGGCCCCGGCATCCTCATCAGTGACATCATCAGTGACGTCCCAGCCGAGCTTCAGCTCCGTCCAGATCAGCTGCGGCGACGTCACCTCAGTCTTCTCTGCGACGCCGACGTACACCACCGCCGCTGGCTCCGACCTCACTGTCGCCCCCGCCGACCCCCAGCCCGCCTTCCAGCCTCAGGGCCCCCCACCCGCCTACCCCGCCTCCAGACTCGGCCTCCAGCCGTCCTCCCTGGTGGTGCCGATGCTCCCAGACTACCTCCTGCCGCAGCAGCAGGACGGCGAGCTGGGCCTGACCCAGGACCAGAAGCCGGTGATGTCACAGAGCCTGAACTCATCGCAGCCTCCGCTCACGCCGCTCTCCACCATCAAAGCCTTCTCCTCGCAGATCCAGGCACAGCCTCAGGGCTCCGCCTCTGGCCCCGCCTTCCAGGCCCTGCTCACCAAATCTAGCCGGAACAGGAAGTCTCCCGCGGGCCGGCAGTGCAAGACGCCGCCGCACGAGCGCCCGTACGCCTGCCCCGCTGACGGCTGTGACCGCCGTTTCTCCCGCTCAGACGAGCTGACGCGCCACGTGCGTGTGCACACGGGCCAGAAGCCGTTCCAGTGCCGCATCTGCATGCGGAGCTTCAGCCGCAGCGACCACCTGACCACGCACATCCGCACGCACACCGGCGAGAAGCCGTTCGCCTGCGCCGAGTGCGGGCGCAAGTTCGCTCGCAGCGATGAACGAAAGAGGCACGGCAAGATCCACCAGAGGCAGCGGGACCGCAGGACCGACAGCTCCTCCTCCTCCTCCTCCTCTGCTCCCATCGCCATCAGCACGCCACCCGCCTACTGCTCCCCCCCCACTTCCTGCTCTTCCTCCCCCGCTCACAGCTCCTCCTCCTCCTCCTCCTCCTCCTCCTTCTCCTCCCTCAGCATGCAGGCCGCCTCCCCCTGCTTCACCTCGTCACTGTCGCACGTCTACACCTCCTCGCCGTCCCCCCACTTCTACTCCTCCTCCTGCTCCTCGCCGATGGGGAGTCCTCAGTCGGAGCTCGCCTCCCCGCACAGCGCCAACATCTGCTGACAGACAGGAAGTCCTGTCCCCTCGTGACCTTTGACCTCAGACTGAATCCCGTCTGACCGTCCACACGGACACCAAACTGGAGATAAGGGCTTAGCGACGAGGTCAAAGGTCAAGGTGAGGAGCGTTTCTCTGGTGGCGCAGGTGAAACACCTCGATGTGTCAGACTCATTCAGTTTGAGCCTTCTCAGCCACCGTAGTTGTGTCACTTTCTGGACATGAACTTTGACCTTTAGCAGTGGAATAAAAACTCTCAGGACCAAACTTCATAGAGAAAACTGCTAAATTAAGGAGACTTCAAACTCTGTGGCTGTGAAGACTTTCTTTTATGAACGAGTGTAAATAGTTTGTAAGTGTACATAATGTGTACTTGTAGTATAATGTACATACTTTTATAGTTTTCTGCCTACTGCGTAGGTTCTGGGACGTTTGTCTGTTTACATGCAGGTCAGTGTCGGGTTTTATACTGTTTCCTCTTTAAGGAGCTGCAACAATAAAAACTCAAACTCATGCTGGTGCTTTTATTTCAGACCCTTTATTATGAGCTTTTGACCGGATCACATGGTTTTCATCAGCACATGTAGTTTAAGTTTATTTATCTGAGAACACGTTAATCTGCTGATGAAGACTGGACGACGGTGCTGAAAGCTCAAGAATAAGTGTGTAAGTGTCCTTTAGTGGACAGCTATTGTTTCCAAGGTTAAAAAATTAACTTGACAAATGAAGAGTTTCAGGACAGCTGAGCAGAAGAAGACCATGTGATGTGGCTGAGAGCTCCAGAATAAGGGGATCATGAGTTGGAAAATGTTACAAAATGTTAAATGGCTGAAAACAACAAATATAAACAATAATAAAATATCAAATAATCAGTCAAAAGATCAAACAATCAGCTGGACTTCCTGTAGGACAACAAAATAAAATAAATAAAGGAGGGTCAGATTTTATCTAATTATTTCCTGGGCGTCAAACATGAGTTTTAAATGGACTGTAAGATAAAAATAATTACATTTTAAAAAGATTAAAAAATTAAATGTTTTAATGTGAAGGTCAGAGTTTAAAGTGAACACACACACACACAGTTAATCCTGTGTGTGTGTGTGTCAAACAGCCAATAGGAACAGACCTTGTCACAGGCTGCTCTGCCAGTTCTCAGCAGGAACACAACACACCTTCTGACCAAATATGGTGTTTCCTGTCGCTGCAGCGGACGTCCTGATGTCCAAATAAGGAGCTTCCTGCCGGCCGGCCCTCTGCTGGCGGGACGCCCGGACTCTGTGTGTGTGTACAAGTACTTCAGCTGCAGAGTACAAAAACTCTTGGAATCAGCAGTAAAATTTAAAGTCCTGATAGGATTCTCAGCTTCATGTAGTTAAAGTATCAGCAGTAAAAGTACACAAGTATTCTCAGCTTCATGTAGTTAAAGTATCAGCAGTAAAAGTACACAAGTACTCTCAGCTTCATGTAGTTAAATTATCAGCAGTAAAAATACACAAGTACTCTCAGCTTCATGTAGTTAAAGTATCAGCAGTAAAAGTACACAAGTATTCTCAGCTTCATGTAGTTAAAGTATCAGCAGTAAAAATACACAAGTATTCTCAGCTTCATGTAGTTAAAGTATCAGCAGTAAAAGTACACAAGTATCCTCAGCTTCATGTAGTTAAAGTATCAGCAGTAAAAGTACACAAGTATCCTCAGCTTCATGTAGTTAAAGTATCAGCAGTAAAAGTACACAAGTATCCTCAGCTTCATGTAGTTAAAGTATCAGCAGTAAAAGTACACAAGTATCCTCAGCTTCATGTAGTTAAAGTATCAGCAGTAAAAGTACACAAGTACTACGGTCTCCTTACTTTTACCTAAAACGGGGAAACAGCGCCACCAAAATCCCACTTGTGGCCAAGAATATATTACATCCGTAGTGATAAGACCTGCCATAGAGAATGAAGGGAACAAGTTAAGCTCCACTGTTCCCCTACTGTGCTTCTTTGTGTGGGAGACCGTCGGTTCGAAACCGGGCAGAAACAAAGTTTGACAGCAAGTCTGAGCACGGACTGAAAGAAATATTAAATAGAGTTAAATGTAGTTTTTAATGAAAAGACTTACTTATTTTTGCCTATGTGTGAACGGGTTGTAACCTCAGGTAAAAATTAACCACATGCCAGCTTTCTTGGTTCCCTCTGACGACCTGTACGCTGCTTCCTCTGTGAAGAAATCGCTCCCGAGCGTCTTGCCTACTGATTCTGAACACAGCAACAACACTGAAACCAAAAAACGGCCAAAAAACTCTTTAATATCAAAGTGAAAATGGATTTTTACAAACTAATGTCAATAAATTTAAAATATATAAGGTAAAGAAGATGATGATGATTGAAAGCCAAATTATATTGACCGTGATTTCATGTATAAAAGGTTGAAGTTAAAATAACGTTAGCTCGTCCGCTAATGCCGAGCAGTTGCTAACATTATCCGATGCTAAAGACTACAGCTTTCCACATTACTTCACCAGCTAACGATCGATATTACCATCCTCTGTGGCGGTATTTTGTCAAAGTGTTGATTTTAGCCAGAAATGATGTAACGGTACAAAGTAAATGTGGAGAGATTTGTTTCTAAAAGCAGTAGTGAGTTAAGGCAGGGCAGCCAGCTAACGTTAGCACGGGGCTAGCTGCACGGCTCCACCTTACTACTAACAAGCATAGACTGTATATAAGAAGTGGACGTAGTCATCGTGATGTCACCCGTTGGTTTGTGGACTGCCGTTTTGAATCCTCGAGTTTGGCCGATAGAGTGCCGCCATGTCGAGTTTTTGCAACCAGGAAGTGCCCGGAAGTGACGATACGGCGAAGCTAATGGCCGTGTGCGTAGCTAGCTAGCTTGCTTGCTTAGCTAGGTGCAACTGTAACTCAAGTTAACTGTCATTTTAACAGGGCTGATAACTTTGTCCAGCGAACGACAGGCTTAAAACTAAATTTACTCACCAGAGAAAGTGAACAGCCGACTCCTAATAAGCTTTTTCAACGGCACTGGTTAAATTTACACAGCGCTGAGGGTACAAGTCACTCTATCCTGATTGACAGGTCACCATGGTAACGACTTGTCAATCAGAGATAACCCCGCCCTGAAACATACTCTGCATAATTTACTAAATGAACATCATTTTGTGTTGAAGAAGACTTGAAACTAGCGACTGAGACCATAAACTCATCAGGAAAATGTTTACTGGGGTAATTATTCAGCTGAGTAGAAACATTTTCCCGTTATTTCTAATGGAGCCGGACTTCTTTTTGCAACCAGAAGAGTCGCCCCCTGCTGGATTTTCAATAGAATGCAGGTTTCAGGGACTTCGCATTCGCTTCATATTGTAGACCGGAAGCTTCCCGCTTGCTAACAAGCAAAGTGCGACAGAAAAGAAACACAAAACCCGCAGCACCTGCACTGATGCTAAGCTAACGGCTGGCTCTCAGGACGGACTGGGTCCAGCTGCAGCCTGCAGACAAACGTGACGGAAGCTGAACTTCCATATGTGGTTTGTCCCAGAAGGAACTAAAACGTGTTTCCGCCCGGTCTCGAACCGGGGACCTTTCGCGTGTTAGGCGAACGTGATAACCACTACACTACGGAAACTGATTCTAACGCTGCTTTTAGCGAAATATATAAATATTATCATCATCTTCCTGCAGAACTACAGACTCTTTATAGGACGAGTGTTTTCGGTTTGTGTTTGACAGTTTAAACTTTTAGCTGCGCTAAATTGCGGTGTTATTAACGCACATCCGGTTTGAAACATTTAACCTTCACATTAAAACACAATGTAACATGTCAGTGTTCCGGTATAAACAGTGATGAAGAGGTGAAGGATCTAATCTCTTCTTCCCCAATGCTCCTTCGTGGTAGTTTCCGTAGTGTAGTGGTTATCACGTTCGCCTCACACGCGAAAGGTCCCCGGTTCGAAACCGGGCGGAAACATTCGTTTTGTTTCTGAATCGAAGCTTTTTAAAATTAATTTACCTAATAAAAAATCCAGTTGAAGTGACACAGCAGCAGCTGCTCTGTTCACCTGAGGCAGAAAAACCACCGGGCTCCTCTTCATCACTGAGGCGGTGGCTCCATCTTGTGGCTGAGTCGCGGTACTGACTTCCTGTGTTACAGTTGCACACATTGCACATCAAGGCATAAAGGAATAGAAATAATAATAGAAAGAAGTTAGATATAGAAATATAGAAATATAAGGTAATAAATATAAAATATAAATGAGTGTGGATATGTACAATATTTACATTATTAAAGAAGTGTAATGGATGGCCCAGTCCCAGAGTCCCCCTCACAAACTCTCTGACCTTGAGGCGCGTTCCTCTGTCAAATCTGTTTCTTATTTTTTTATTTCTTTATTTAGGTGTAAAATTTACAACAATCTGTGTAGAAAAGTGTCAGTGCTAACAGGACGACAAAAGCAACTTTAGGGAGAAGAAAATAAATTAAAGTTAAATTATGATAATGAAAAATGATAATAGGTAATACATAAAATAACAGAGGATAAAGAAACAGTAATAAAACAACATTTAAGGGGCTTCAGTTAATTTTAAGGCATCAATAAAATTAAGGCGTTCGTTTGCTGTTTTCTTCTTCATGAACAACAGGGACTTGTTGAAGACATAAATAGAGGCTGTTTTTATACATTTACATTTGTGGATGAAAAATTTATAAAAAGATAATTAAAGTGTTTAAAAGCAGATCATAGTTTTTGTCCTTCTTTATAATTCCAAATGTTATCTGTAGTGAAAGTGAGACTGGAGAAGAGGCTCCAGCCAATCGTACGTGACTCCAGAATGTGTAACTGTGAAAAGAAGAACAGACGTGTCCTCATCTCAGAACATACATGGAGCCAAGTTAAATCTACGTGAGAGGAGTTCTCTTGAAGGATATATGTCATTACATAGTTTCTTCAGAGAAGCAGCATTTGGGGTGTGTTGCACTGGGTATGAAGTCAGAGGGAAGAGATCAGGAAGGAGAGGGGGGTTGAACATATGAGGTAGTTTAAAGGACAGGTGGGACGCTTTGGACGACCACATCGTAATGTTTACGATTGCACTAGAAATGAAAGATAAGATAAAACATTTCCATAGTTGTCTAGTAAATGTTTTCCATGAAAAACAGACTTATTTTTAAAGAGAATAAATCTGCCAATCCAGACAATTTTAGAAAGTTTTGGAACATCAAAGTCACAGCGTAAAGGAAAATCAATACCTGCAATTTTTTAAACAATTCCCTGGAGACACAATACCAGAAGCTTCTACTTCAGATGTCAGGGTTTTCTTTTCCAGATGTAATCAAAGTTTAATGTATAGATGGTTTTGGCACAGAGCAGGCTGGGTGAATGCATCAGGAAAGGCTTTCCATTTTGGTTATAAATGCGACCAAACAGAGGAAGATCTCTATTTAACCATCTGTCTAATCTTGATTTACATTCATCCATTTTAGTATCTTTGGTTATATGTATACCCGAGTGTGTTAATAAAGCTGATTCTGATTAACTGCTCAATATCTGAGTTTTTGATGAGGATTGACAGCCTTTCAGCTGCAGTTCTGAAGAGTGAGACGTTGCAGCCTTGTTTTATAGCTCTGTGGATAGTGAAGCGAGGCGTGGTGCCACCTGAGAGATGCTGAGCTGTTGGTGTCCTTATAAAAACACAGAGTTCCAGAGCCTTAAAAATAAAGAGAATAAAGCCTTTACATGCTCATATTCAAGCCGAATGTTATTGTGTATTACTTAAATCCTGATCGAGTGTCACTTATTATTTGAGGAAAAGCTTTTCAAGACCATTTGAAAATATGTGTGAAGGCTCCATTTGCTTTTCTTGTATACATATTATCTAATTTGGATAATATTGGATTTGGAAAAAGAGAGTGAAAAGTTTCTTATTCTGATTTTTAAATAATCCCATTTAGAGCTAGAAGATAGAAGGTTGGAGTCTTGAGCAGTTTCATAAATTATGTCTTGAAGCCCTTGGCGATGCGTTTGGGACTGTAACAGGCTGGCACTGAGTTTCCAGTGACCCTCGTTTCGTTTGTGATTATTACTGGTTCTAAGGTGAGACTGATGAAGCAGTGGTTGGATAGAGGAGCAGAAGATAATAAGTCTTTTACACTGTCAGAGATCAACCAAAAGTCAATCCTTGATTTGACTGAACCATCAGGCTTAAACCAAGAGAGGATTTTAAGTTGGGGTGTATAAAGTGCCACGGGTCTGACAGAGAGCTGCAGGGTTCTAGTGATGGTCATGGTCTAACCAGTCATTAAATACCATACTGAAGTCTCGGAGGAGGACGGCTGTACCTGCAGAACGATAAGTAAATTAAACTTGATCACCCCCTTGATTGGACCAAAATCGTGAGTCTCTTGTCTCTTGGGTGTTTCTGGCTCTTACAGAAGAGAAAAACTGCCTTTCGTTTGATGCTGTCTCTCGCATTGAACATCATGAAACAGAAATTAGAATCAACAGAGAACATTAAACAGGAAATGGTTCTGCAACTTCTTCACTAACTATTAGAATCATGTCCGTGATATTCCCGTCCTTCCACTCTTTCTTCCAGCATCTGTTATCTCGTTTCTTTCCACTGCTCCAAGGAAAACAGAGCTAGATTTCTATCCCAGAGATCAGCCTCCACCCTTCTGTTGTTTCTGGATGCTTTATTATTTCTGCCAGAATCTGTTGAAACCATTTACCACAGCTTATTTATTATCTCCTCATTTTCAATCTAATATTCCAGGTAACTTGTATTTTTAGTTTTAGTTCCATTTCTAATAAAACTATTTAGAATATTCCAGAAACCGTTCATATTATTTTTATTCTTCTCTAATATTTTATTATAGTAAACTTTCTTTAATATTCTTCTACTTTTTCTCTTTATTTCCTGTTTCTGGGGGACGAGACTTAATGAAAAGTCTATAAAGTCTGTTTTTCTTTCTGCAGGCATTTATTAAACCCTCAGTGATCCACGGACTATTTGTTTGCTTCAGTCTGTCACTGGATTGTTTTACAGTTTCTGTCACACAGGGATGTAAAAATCTTTAGAAATCCATTGGAAGCTTTGTCAGTATCATCTTCCTCAGAAACTATTTTCCACTTCAGTTTCAGTAATTCTTTCTTAAATGCATTTCTGTTTTCTGCAGTTCTTCCTCTTTTGGATTTCAGATGACTAATATCCTCAGGTTTCCTATAATTACTGTCATTTGATGCTTTTTAAGATTTAATAGCTCGATGTTTTAATCTCCACATATGAACAGAATCTTTTTTTTCCATAAATATTTGGCTCTTTCATCCAGAAGTTCTGTATATTCAGCTCACAACAATGTTTTTTGTCCTTTCCATCCAGATTTCTACTGTCATCCGTTCCAGCAGCTCATGACCAGCTGCTGTCATGCTCTCCACCACCTTATAATTCCCTCTTTCCTCCACGTACGCTGCCACACCTCCTCCACTTCTATCCACTCTGTTTTTAGAGTTCAGAGCATCAGTCTCAAGCTGCACACCTTTCTCAGTGCTGATCCATCCTTCTTGAAATGTCTTAAATCTTCTATAATGCTGTGGAAGTTGGTTTATAGGTCTTGCTGTTAAAGTGGATGTTGAGCTCTTGTGCTCCTCTTTGCAACAGCTCCTTTGTCCTTTTACCGCCACTTCCAATAAAAAATATAACCCCTCCCATTGGTCATTATTTCGCGGGCAGGTTTATTACTGTAAACTGATTTACAGTAGAGAAGAATTACAGTAGGGAGGAAGTATTTTCCCATAATCCTTTGCTGTTTACAGTAATCTACTGTAAAGTATATACACAGTATTTTACTGCACCCATTACAGTAAAATACTGTTCAAAATACAAAAATCAGCTACAGTCTACTAGATGATAAAAATGTTGTATTATTTGGAAAATTTCAGGTTTAATGACATTTTGTTCCTGAAATCCAGCCTTCTGTAAAAATAATCTGATCGGATTTTGGCTGTCGGATTGGATCAAATCTGGAAATGGGGTTGTTCAAAAGAAGAAATGGATTCTGAAATCGGATCAGGTCACCTGATCCAGTCCTGGTGTTGATCTGGATCCAAACCTTCAGTTTGTGTTGTTCAAAACTTTTCAGTAGGACTGGAAAACATCTGGATTATCCTGAACAGAAGGCTGGAATAAAATAAATAATCCCCCAAACAGCTTCAATATCAAACTAAAATAATTTAATGTCAACGGTCACTTCTCACTGAACGATACTTACAAAAGCAGGATGATGGGAGGTGAACCATTCAGAAGCAGTTTGTAACATCTGCTTCCCTTCCTGCAGGTCCAGTCAGTCCCTCAGTCTGAGATCAGCCTCCTGGAAGCTACAAGCTGCTCTCTGAACTCTGAGCGAGCTTTATTTTAACTGTTGAACAGCACAGGCTCAGATTCTCCACAGTCTATCTGTGACACACTTTGTTGTGGCTCTGGCTGTTTAAAGACATTGATAACTGAAGGAAATGTTGGTCTTGTTTTATTGTGCGTTTCCTGGCTCTTCAAATTAAAGTCCCCACGCCGGCTGTTCCGCCTGTTGGTCTCTATATAAATTAACGGCCTACGTTCTGATCTGTGGTCCCGTTTAGAGCTCTGGAAATCCAGATGTGGTCATCCTGGAAAGCTTGTATCCAATCCAGTGTTGCTTTGAAAAACCGGCACAAAGGTAAGAAGGGTTACGTGATCCTGGACAGCAAAACACGGGATCTCCAAATCCAGATCGTTCGGATCCAGATTAAACTCTTTGAACAACTGGGCCCTGGTTCCCAGTCACTTCTTCATTTAGTGCCACAGACTGGAATCAACATATTGTCATGCAGAGTCCAGAGGTAATGAAATGTAGTCGGCATCTAACCGCATGTGCAGAAATAGTGTTTTTACAGGTGAGTGCAGTAATGCTGTATTTTACAATATGACCAGCGGAGTCACTGATATTATCCAGAATATAAACGTTGGACACAGTTAGAATGGAGAGCAAATGCAAAGATGTAGAGTACGAACAACATCTATGAACAGGCAGAGTTCAGCAACGCACGTACTCGCCAGGTTATAAATACAGTAAGTTACTGGTCTAAATGTCAGGGTGAGTGCATTTTATTCTTTATTACAAAGTGGAGAACTTTAATTTCACTCTCATGTTACCTGTAAACTTCATGAATCTTCAATCAGAAGATTAATCTCAAATGATTTGACCCCAAACTTCTGCTGTTGTTGTTTTTACACATGTGATCAACATCTTCAAACTGATTGATGAAAATAAATTGCAGCTAGTTAAAAAACATTTGATGATTCAGTTTCTCACGTGAAGATTTGCTGCTTTTTAATTGATTAATTTTACTTTATTTTTAGTAACTTTCATCTTTGGACCTAACGAGCGCTGTGAAGGCGTCACTTTGGGCTCTGGGTAACTGTGACGGCAGAATCTTTACAAACCAAACAGTGATGGAGGAAATAATCAGCAGGTTGATCCAGAATGAACAGAATCATCAGCTGCAGATGCTTTTACTTAATGAAAGCATCTGAATATTTCATTAATACCCTGTTGAATCTGTGTTATATTTGTTGTTTGACCTTCGCGTCTTTCTTCACTTCTCTCAGAGGAAAGTTTAAGGAACAAAATGATGATTCTGCTTCAATCTGTCAATTTTCAGATTATTTTACAAGTATTAGGATATTACCAGACTTTTATAAAACAATCTTGAATAATATATTTAAACATTATAATTTGTCTTTTTAATACGAAGTGCATCAACCTCACATGGAGAAATTAAATATTTGTTTTTCATTTTCCATGTAAAAGTTGGACTGCTCTTTTTAAAACTCCATATTGAATCATTTATGGATGGAAAGTTTGGTTTCTAGAGCACAATGTTAGTCCATAATGTTCATGTGATAAACCTGACGTGTGTCCTGGATGTCGAATCGTTAGACCAGTTTACACACTGAGCTTTAAATATCTTTTATCATTTTATCTGTATGTGGAAACAGGGTATATATTTATGTTTATTTAGATAAACTGTTCTGTAAATGTTTGGACATTTGGTAAATTATCACAGTAAAACCGACAACCAATCTGACTTTTATGCAAATCAGCGCATATTGAATGAGGAAATGCCTCATTTGCATATTAGAAAATAATAATAAAATTTTCATCTCTGTCCGTTTCCTGTCAGCCTGAAAAAAACCTGTTTGACGTCTGGCTTTAACGGTTTCTGGGATCGCGCATGCTCAGTCTCGTTTAAATCTCAGCCAATCCTGCACGAGGGACAGCGCAGTCTCATTTGCATACAGCTCATTTAAGCGTTGAGCCTGCGCTCCGCTGGTCACTCGTCGACTTTTCCTCCAGAAGTTGAAGATGCCTGATCCGGTTAAGGCTCCGAAGAAGGGCTCAAAGAAAGCCGTCTCTAAGAGCGTCTCCAAGACCGGCAAGAAGAAGAAGAGGAAGACCAGGAAGGAGAGCTACGCCATCTACGTGTACAAGGTCCTGAAGCAGGTCCACCCCGACACCGGCATCTCGTCCAAGGCCATGCTGATCATGAACTCGTTCGTGAGCGACATCTTTGAGCGCATCGCCGGCGAGTCCTCCCGTCTGGCTCACTACAACAAGCGCTCCACCATCACCTCCAGGGAGATCCAGACCGCCGTCCGCCTGCTGCTGCCCGGTGAGCTGGCCAAGCACGCCGTGTCTGAAGGCACCAAGGCCGTGACCAAGTACACCAGCTCCAAGTAAACCCGCTGTTACACCAGCAACACAAAGGCCCTTTTCAGGGCCCCCACTGCTTCAACTCAGAGCTGCCTTCCTCACTTATTAACTACAGCTGATGTCTCTCACTAAACCTCCATGTTCCTCTCTATGCAACACAGAAGTGAGGTCAGACCCCCCCCCTCAGCTCATTGGCTGTTTTCTGACAGAACATTAGTTTATTGGGGTTTCTGTTTTTAAGAAGGCCAAGTTTTAGGCAATAAAGTAAAATAAACAGCCACAGTTTATATTACATTTCCCCCCCCCCCCCCATGGTGTAAATTACAGATAAAATAAACTACAGCTAGCTGGTTAAAAGCAGAATTATAAATGTTATTTTGGCATTTTTATCCCAAATATACTAATCCAGCATTTTACTACTTTAACAGAAAACTATAAAAATCTTTCTAAGAGAACTTCAGGCTCCCCTGACTGTAAACATACAGATATATATAAATAGAACACACAAAAAATTATACCTAATTATTAAAAATATTTTGATGAAACAGGATATTTTTAGTTCAGGGACAGATTTTGTGTTTTTGTTAGAATTACTGTGTGGGGGGGGTCTTACCCCTTTTTACCCCTTGTTACCGTACTTCCGTTTTTAATTTACAGAATTTGGTGAAAAATATCCACAGGAACAGACGTGAATGCTCAGGAAGTTCCCCGTAATGAACGCACTGACGATGATCTTAAAGCAAAGCAACGTTTGGTACAGCGGCTGCTCTGAATGTCATCGTTTTGCATTCAGAGGATTTTGAATGTCGGTCATATTTTAAGTTTATGTATCATAAAGCAAGGACTCGTACAACAACTGCAGGATCCTCAACAATAAGTACAGCAGCTGTAATCAGAAGGCTGCTCTGACTTTCTAACAGCTTTGAATGTCTGTTCTTCATAAAGAAAAGGACTTTACAACAATAACTGCAGGATCCTGAGCAATAAGGACGCCAACAACAACTCTTCTGTCTTTCTTGTTACTCTCGACTTAGATTCTGTTGTCAGAAGAGGGTCAAGGGTCGAATTAAATGTTGTAGACCTCAGATGTGATGGAGGTTCGTGTTGCGTTTTTGATCAGATCTGAGACTTTTCCTCGTTCAGTCGAGGAAATGTTCACCTCGTCGGGGAATTGAACTCCGGTCGTCCGCGTGACAGGCGGAGATATTGTCCACTATAGAGCGAGGAGCGTTTCTGAGGGCCTCGACACATAATGTGTTTTCAGAGTTTCCCTTCAGTCAGCTGCAGTTTAGACCACAAGGTGGCGCTGTTTGTTTGTTGACCTGCTGGAGAACGATGATGAAGTTGTGTGTGGAGCGGAAGCGAAAAGTCAACAATGTTTCCGCCCGGTTTCGAACCGGGGACCTTTCGCGTGTGAGGCGAACGTGATAACCACTACACTACGGAAACCCGGTGTAGGTGATGCGTTCAGGAACACACAGGAAAATTGATCAAAACAAACTAAAATACACTCATTGAAAAATGCTTTTTACCCAGGAGAGCTGAGTGAGCTCAGGCCGGAGCGAGCAGGTGGTGAACAGCTGTTCGGAGAGCTTTTAGGGAGCACGCTCATGTAACGTTAGGGGTCATGTTAGTCGGAAAGACCCAAGTAGGGGTCGGCTGCTCGGCCGGTGGGGTTTGAATAGGTTTATAATACAATTGTACAAAATCAAATAAATGCAACATAATAACTCAAAGTTCAGCAGTAACTCTGTGTTCCTGAACGTGACCCTCACTATCAGCTCATTGTTAAATCTTTGTTGAGTTTACCCAACTTAAAAGGTTTGCTAGTTTCAGTTTTATTTTTTAAAATGCTCAGTGTAGTAAATAACCCCAATTTAACTCCATTTTTATTCACTTTCTTTCACCTACCTCACTTCCTTTCCTTTCTTTCTCATCACTGATTGGCTCCTGCTGTCACCTTTCATTCCTCCTCACCTGAGAGAGTTCACCTGGTCACGCTTCATTTAAGGACTGCACTCCCTTTCACCTCCACATGGGGCGGCAGTTCTGATAAGAGAAGTTTGATTTACTCTTTACTTTATGAGAAACTTAAATCTTTATCTTTGCTTATTTCCTTGAGATGGACGTGTGAGTTTAGTTCCTAATCATATGTTTGCTTTCTTTCAGACTGAACAACTAAACAATTAAATGCATTTACACTAATATTAGTTTATTTTAGTTAGATTTGCAAACTGCCACTATAGTTTCAGCTATTGTTCTTTTTTAAACGCTTTCATTTTATTTCAGTTAATGTTTTTTCACACCTAGTTTTTGTTAACGATTATAAACCTGGTCACAACACTGCACATACGCAAGAAAAACCAATTTGTGTTCTTCATCAAATACAACTCTAATGGCTGTAACGAGAAGTGCTTGAGAGAACTGTAGAAAGTCTGTCCAGTCATTGATGAGCGAGTTTGAAAATGCTAAACGTGTTTAAAGCTGTAGACGCACCTTTCAAAATGAACAAATACTTTTCAGAAACATTTGATCTTGTGAAGGCAAAACAAATATTTCTTGGTCATAGACACTGCAAGAAAGCAAGGACGAGTAAAACAAGTGTCAACGTATCTCAGCACGTGAGAATGTTTATTCAGGAGTGAACAAATGCAAAAACTTTACCTTCAGAGTAAGAAGCAAGGAAGGAAGGAAGTGAAGACCCTTGTATCTGCACACTCGGCATCCGCCTTAATATTCTGTTAAAGTTTTTTAAAATATTGAGACAGATGTTTTGAGAATTTGAGACGCTGGAAACAGCTTTTAAAATACTGATCAGTCATCACAAAAAACTTTACTGGGATTGGTGCTTGTGTAGTTTTTGAACCAGCGATGGATTCAGAATTCAAAACAACGCACACCTGATGGAAACCAGACTACCGAACAGTGTCACAATAACTTTAGTAAATCAGAACGAGGGGAACGTGTCGCTCTCTGAAAGAGAACAAACTGGCATCTCTTCACTGCTGAGGCTCTTTCTACAACAAGGAGGAGAAACTAGTTCAAATCGGTGTATTAGTAGTTAGATTATTATAATGACGTTAGATAAAAAGTTCAGTTTTAATCTAATAGCATTCTGTTAGTATGTTAATATATAAATTATATAGGCTATTGTCATTTTATGTAATAGTACACTGTACCACTAGAATAAAATGAATTCCAGTTGGACAAAACAGCTGTTTCATTAAATCCTTGTGCAGGAAAAATGGCCTACTTGATCAGTTAATGCTAATAATGTTAACATGTTAATAATCAGCAGCAATCATGCAGAAGGAGTTTAAAAGTTTACTGTAGCGCGTCCCTGTGTCTTGACTGCAGACAGTTTAGCCATCCATTCCCCATGTGGATATGCAGAGACAAGTTCTGTCACTTTTGCATGGTTGACAAAACAGTTTACGATGAAGATGAAGTTGAGAAGCGCACCAGAGGAAATTACCAGCAGCGACTCGGACTTCATGATCCAAGCTCAACTGGGATTAAAGAGGACTCTTGTTTGAATGAGCTGACGTACTTTCATGTTACAGAGAACACATGCGTTGACATTATGCACGATATCCTTGAGGGCGCAGCCCCTTTGGAGAAAATCTTTTGACCCTAGAACTGCTGAATCAAAGGATTTCCAGTTTCGACTATGGAAATGTGAAAAATAAGCCAAATGCAATCCTCGAGTTGAGAACTTGTGAAAATGCAGTAAAACAAACTGCATCACTAACGTGGTGCCTCTTGCAGGTTGTGTTTGGACCCATTTCTCAGCTGCGGTGCATGAATGAGATTTGAATCCATAAAAAAAAGACGTGCTCATGTTGTTGGAAACTTCAGAAATATTTCTAAAACACTGAGTTACAAACGTCAAGTTCAGCAAACGTATAGCTTCGAGTTAGGTGACCCTCTTTCTGAGAAAACGAGAGTTATAAATGCAACAATCTGAGATCAACCTATGATGATGTTGCCAACACTCTTGGTCACTCGGCCAGACTTACAGAACTGTTCTGCCACTTAAAGTAGACGACAAAGGAGAAATAACTGGTGCTGAATCCTTTCTAATATCTGTAAGACAGTAAAGAACTCTGATGAGCATTTTTGTGCCTGTGCTATAAAAAAAGTAAAGAATTTGAAATGATCCAGCTGTCTGATGCATAATGACAATCACTACAGATGAACTTTAAACCCGAGGATTGTTTAGTTCTCAGGAAGGCAGATGGTCCTTGTTGTCTTTGAACGTGTAATGAATCCACTAATTTGCCTTCAGACAAATGTAACTTCTCCAGTGAATTTAACTGAAAATTTAAAGATCAGATTCTAAAGGTTTTATTGTACATGTATTTAAAATGTCTTTGCACTATTAGCAGCCCAGCGGTTGTAACTGATGCTGGAAACACTTCCCATGTACTGTAACGCTACCGTTAGGATGTAGTCATCTAAATCATCGCATGCTTTTGCTATTTATTGGATTTTTTATTGCATCCCAAATCAAAAGCTCAGGTAAACTTTTTGTTATACGAACGCGTCGAGTTGAGAGGAAACATTTTGTTGTGCTCATGTATTCTGCAGCCTGTCGATATTTCACATATCTTTCTCTCCATTAGTTCCTGGCAACAACATTTACTTGTGTTACACGTTTGTTTGCAGTTTTCGGTGCGTTAAATGACCCGACACAACTTGTGTTAAAAAAGTTTCCACATCTCGACACTGTGCGTCTTGTCCCTGAACACACTCAGTACATGTGTTTAAATTCTGCACGTGTTGTTTTTAACACGTCTCTTTTTGGAGTGTACTACAAAAAGGTGTTGCTCCTGGTGTTGTTACACCTGTACCCGGTCTCCCCCACTGAAGCTTTCATCAGGGGCCCTTCTGCAGGTCGGACAGGAAGCTGGATTCTCACTAAATCAGAACAATTATTGGTTTCAGTTTGATGCAGTAAAAATGTAGTTTATTAGTCGTGTTCTCTCTTTCAGGAGTCCTCTAATACAGTTTGTTCAGTTTTTATATTTAATTAACTTGTAGTAGCCAGTTATTACTTTAACACTTTGATTCTAAGAGAAATCTTGAAAATGAAGCAAATCATTTGTTCAAAACAAGAAGTTTCCAATATTGTAAGCAGCCTGATGTGAAGAAGACCCATTTTCTTGCTGTGATGTGATCATCAGTGTTTGATTGAACTGTAATATATGATTGTTCTCATGATCAGAGGAAGGAGCTCTTGAGCTTTAGTGAGGAGGCTCTTAAAAGAGCCGTTGTGGTGTAAAGAGGTGTGGGGGGGGTTTAAGCCCTCTCTCCGCGGATGCGTCGGGCCAGCTGGATGTCTTTGGGCATGATGGTGACCCTCTTGGCGTGGATGGCGCACAGGTTGGTGTCCTCGAAGAGGCCGACCAGGTAAGCCTCGCTGGCCTCCTGCAGAGCCATGACGGCGGAGCTCTGGAAGCGCAGGTCGGTCTTGAAGTCCTGAGCGATCTCCCTCACCAGGCGCTGGAAGGGCAGCTTGCGGATCAGCAGCTCGGTGGACTTCTGGTAGCGGCGGATCTCTCGGAGAGCCACGGTACCGGGCCTGTAGCGGTGGGGCTTCTTCACTCCGCCGGTGGCCGGGGCGCTCTTACGGGCAGCCTTGGTGGCCAGCTGCTTCCTGGGAGCTTTTCCTCCGGTGGATTTACGCGCGGTCTGCTTGGTTCTGGCCATTTCAGTGTCGTTTCTCTCAACAGGAGCAAAGTGTAGTGAAGAGAGGAGCCGCGCTGCTCTTAAACTGCGGGACCGGCTGCGAAGCGGTGACGCTGCTTCAGACCTCCGGCTCCTGATTGGTGAGGGGCCCCTGCTGGAGCTCAGCACCGCCTAGAGGAGCGACCCACCGCCTGAATCTCCGCCGCTTATTGGCGGAAAATCCGTTCAAACTTTCCGCCTAAACGCAGATCGGGCCGCCCTCTGCAGGAAGAACCGACCCGCGCGCTGCGCGGACATATAAAGGAGGGTTTTGGCTGCCGGGGCCACATTTTCTTTGAGTCTCTACTCTAGAAAGATCTAACGATGTCTGGAAGAGGTAAAACCGGAGGCAAAGCCAGAGCAAAGGCCAAGACCCGCTCCTCCCGCGCCGGGCTGCAGTTCCCCGTCGGTCGTGTCCACAGACTGCTGCGTAAAGGAAACTACGCCCAGCGCGTCGGTGCCGGAGCCCCCGTGTACCTGGCGGCGGTGCTGGAGTACCTGACCGCTGAGATCCTGGAGCTGGCCGGAAACGCCGCCCGCGACAACAAGAAGACCAGGATCATCCCCCGTCACCTGCAGCTGGCCGTCCGCAACGACGAGGAGCTCAACAAGCTGCTGGGCGGAGTCACCATCGCTCAGGGCGGCGTGCTGCCCAACATCCAGGCGGTCCTGCTGCCCAAGAAGACCGAGAAGCCCGCCAAGAAGTAAACAACAACAACCACAAACACAACGGCTCTTTTAAGAGCCACACATCTCAAACTGAAGGCACTTCCTGCTCTGACTTTCATGATTAAACAACCTGTTCTTCAAGTCCTAAAGCTCCATATTTTAGATCCAACAACCTTCTTGTTTTCTTCAAAGTGACCTTATATTAGAGCTACTTGCAGAACACAAAGGAGTAAAATCATTGGAGACTAAAAACCAGCTTCAACTGACTCCTTTAACTCTCCAGAGAAGTTTCTGTGAGATCATGAAAGATTAAATGCAATAAAGGGACAAAGGTTGGTGTGAAAATTGATGATGAAAGGGTTAATAACAAAGATGAAGAATAATGTTGCCTGATTAAGTTTAAAAACGGTTAAGAGAAACTCACTTTTACTGTTTTGGTGTTTCCTGTGACGTACGAGTGTACAATTATTAAAGGGCAGAACAGAAATACCACAAACTGCATCTATTGTTGTTCTAATAAAATGCTACATTTTGACATTTGTCAGGAAAAAAAACACAAGCGTACATATCTATATATGTATATCTATATAGATATACATATATAGGTATATGTATATCTATACATTACATTTATTCATTTAGCTGACGCCTTTATTCAAAGTGACTCAGCTGCTGTAAACGTCAGGTCGCCTCTGGAGCAACGAGGGGTTAAGTGTCTCGCTCAGGGACACATCGGTGGACGTGTCACAGTGGGGGATTGAACCCGGGTCCCAAAGGCATCATCTTATCCGCTGCGCCCTCAAAATAATCATCTGAATTATTAGAAATGTTCTTTATTGTCTGACTAAATGTTGGTGACAACTTGCTGCGCATCAGTCTCTCACATTCAGAGCTTGTTTGTTGCTGAATGAAGTCCAGTCTTGTGTCTTATATCACCTCCTACAGCAACACAAGTAGAAACTGTCTCTAGTAAATGAATAAATAAAACAGGAATTAGATGTTGGGCTGTCTGATCTCCAGTGTTCATTTATTAGAAAATTTAAAATGACTTTATATTACTGTTTTTTCCATCCTCTTAAATCCTAATATAACGATCGCTGCATCATGTGCTGTTAGTGAGTGTGAACGGGCTCTTGGAGGAAGATGTGGTGGCTCTTAAAAGAGCCTGTCGTTGGTCTTGAAGCAGCTCACTTCTTCTTGGCTGCGGCCTTCTTCACTTTGGGCTTGGCGGCCTTCTTCACGGGGGTCTTCTTGGCTTTAGGAGCGGCTTTCTTCACCGCCTTCTTGTTGATCTTGAAGGAGCCCGAGGCCCCGGTCCCCTTGGTCTGGACCAGAGTCCCCTTCACCACCAGGCTCTTGATGGCGGTCTTGACGCGGGCCTTGTTCTTCTCCACATCGCCAGAGCCTTCTTCAGGGCTCCCTAACCTGAACCTGGCGTTCGTTAGAGCCTAAAGTTTGCAAAGGCGTCTGTCTCTACAGCTGACAGTGAACATCAGCAGTAACCAGCAGCACATGAGCGTGAGACAGCTGTGTTGGAACGTTACTGCAGTCTATAACCACACAAGCCCAAACTTCACAGCACCATCAGCAACACTTTCCCACACCTCAGACCCAACGTCCTTTTCTGCATCCGTACATGCACCGTGGACCCTGCGCCAAACACCTAGTCCCCCACGCTTTCCCAGCAGCCTCCTTCCCGAGATCAGGGCACCGAACAGTCCTTCCTCACACTTCTGGGGCAGTTTGAAGCCCAGTGTCAGTACATAACCCTCCACCTTCTCAACGCGACCCAAAGCCTCAGGAGGAAGAGAATGTCTGCATTTATAGTCAAACGTATCTCAGGACGAGGTTGATTTAAATGTTGTATATTTTCTGACTTGCAGTTTTAATAGTTGCTGTTCTTTAATATTTGAAATATTTTATATTTAATGGCACATTTGCAGCTGTTTTGAACTTTAGATGAGAATTCAGCATTCAGAGAATAGATGGTTTTAAAATAAAGGTTTGCTATCCAGCATTTATCTATTCAGTGTAAGTAAGTTAGCCAGTAGTTTAATTGTACTGCTATTAATTTGCACACATAATCCGTTTAACAATGTAACTTTGTTCAGTTTGCAAGTGAAAATGGACTGAACAAAACACGGTCTCTGCCACCTATTTCCAGGAAAACGCCTAAAATAACAAACCTAAATCAGTAACATCAACCATCAGGCCTGGATGCATAATCCTGGTCTCCTTTGAAAGGTCAGAAGCTGAGGAATATAAATCCACTGTACATTAACATGTTCATTTCACCATTACTGACTACATGGAGATGCAATACAGAAAAAATCTGATATTTTCCTCCTCGCCTGGTAAAAAAAGCTCTATTTTAATGCAATAAACTATCATGAGGTAGATTCTAATGCACCTGGAAAACAGCTGTAACTGTAAATCTGCTGAAAAGAAACTTATATACAACAGTTATTACACAATCTTTCAAAAATATAGCAGGCGAATGTTTTGGCCATATTTACTGTTTCTATGTTCACTTTTATTGGGAGTTTTCTTCAAAACATTATTTCTCTCCACACAGCCACGTTCCAAATAACACAAAACTTCCAAAACATTGAAATATTGATTTAAAAACAGTCAGTACATATGATCAAAAGCACCCCCCTGCTTTACAGGCCACAGCTTGAGAACAGGGCTGCGAGTGGCTCTTCCTCGTCGGTTGATATCCTGCATGTCTGTGTAGCTCGTACGGGTCGCCAGCAGAGGCCGATAAAGACCGCCCCCGCCAAAGCAAACTCTTCTTCTCTACTTCGATCTGACGACAGAAAGGAAACTTACGGCTTCTTCTGATGTGGACAGTCACTGATGTCCTCTCTGCTGAGAAAACAGCCTGGTCAGTCCAGCAGCCTCTCTGGGTTGGGGGGTCACTGGGAGGCTGAATCCATCCACGTTTCATCAAAACACTGCATGAATTTCACTGAAAAGATTGTGCAACATGCAGCACGCTGTTACAACATGTGGAACTCGCAAGAGTTGAACATCCATTCTTTTCAGAAGACATCTCCGTCGTCCTTTGAGTCGACCAAAAGCGCACGCCACAGCCACGCGAGCTCGGCTGCGGCGGAAGTGTTCCTGATCGTTAGTTAGGTGGCCGTTGTCAGGATAAGGCTTCATGAGCCAGCTCAGAAGGGCGTATATGCTGCATCTCCTAGAAGCATGACAGGGACTGATGTGCCACGAATGTCCTAGAAATGTAACACATCTATCTCACATACGCCTTTCTTTAGACAGGACTATGATCATGGATGTGATCGATAGATACACGCATACATATTCTGGGTTTGCGTGCAGCTTTAACAATATGAAAAGCAGTGAATCGCTGTGGTCTATATTCACCAGTTCGTTGTTCTCAGCCAGATCGTAAAGTGTGGAATTTCTCGTCGTCACGTACGCTTCCTGGCCTGCCGACACGCGCGTTGATAAACCTGCCACATACACACATGCTGTTTATTTCAAACCAGCAGAGCTTTAATGACTCCTATCTCACCTGAATGTGTTCTCTTTGATGTAATGTCTTTTTGACATAGCGTGATGTAGGCTAAACATGATGAACAAGGAAGTAGCCTATGACACAGACTACACAATACAGATTATATATATTAGTCAAACAATGTGGAAAGAAATGTTTTCAGAGCCAATGTTCAGAGAATTAAGGAAAAATCTGGAGTCAAAGTCCTTTCAGCACCACGCTGGTGCCATTTAACACCGGCTTTTAATTTGGGCAGCACTGAATACATCTCTTATTCTCCCCTTCTATCTGCTTTGACCGGAGGTTACGCCTCTTCCCTTCCCCTTCATTATCTATGCAGCAGGAGTCTTGGCTAGCGGTTTGGCTAGGTTATAAAAAGCTGTGTTACGCCTATATGAACTTTAGAGACACATTCATATAGACGCTTTCAGCGGTAACAACATAAACAAACGGTGCTGCGCGTGTGCGTCACTCTGGCCCAAACTTAACTTCCGATCCAGAACAAGTAAATAACCTTAGCTGCCAGTCGAAGAAAAGAAACGTTACTGGGCCAAACTGAAATGTGATAAGGTCACACTAGCAGACCCGTTGAAGTAAAATTTGGGACAAGAATGTTTTTCTCTGCTCTGCAATCAAATACAAGTTTTCCCATCTTAAATAGGAAAAAAAACAGAAAAATCAATCTGTGGCGGTCAGCGCTGATGATGTGGACTTCAGGCCGCATCACCTTGGCAACGCGTCCGATGCGTCTATGCTGGCGGTCAACAACAGCTTGAAGCACAACCGAGTGGCGACCTTTTCTGTTGAAGTGGCTGAAACAGCAAAAACACAAAGGATAAAAAGACGGAAGGCAGCTCCGTCTTGATTTTCAGCATGTTTTTGAAGTTTGGAAATAAAGATTTTTAATGTAAATTTAGTAACAGTAACGTTACGTTCAAACAAACAAACCTATGTAAAGTTTAAACTGGTGAGTATTTTAATACTTTTTATTCAAACTTTAAACAATAACTCTCTTTTCCATCTTGGTACAGTGTTGCTTTAAGGCAACGGACCACAAAGTACATTTATTTTGAAATTTCTTTAAATTATGTTTACTTGGTCCATTTAATGACGAAAGGGTTAATATTTCTGTGAGTAGACTATAAAAAGGTGCTGATGCAGAAATGAAAAATAAAAAACAAGCCGCCGCTGATTCTGATAAAAACAACAAAAACTAGCTGCTCAGTGTGGGCGGGGCCAAACGGGTGACTCTCCAGAGAGGGAGGGGCTTCAGGACAGCTGAGTTTGGCACCGCCCAGCGGAACTCGCGCCTTCTGTCCTCTTCTACGTCCGCAGATAAGATGTAAAAAGCGCGTGTCGCCTTTTAAGTTAATCAGTTTGTTGAACGAGTAAAGCTGAAAGATGAGCGGAAGAGGCAAAGGAGGAAAGGGACTCGGTAAAGGAGGCGCTAAGCGTCACCGGAAAGTGCTCCGTGATAACATCCAGGGAATCACCAAACCCGCCATCCGCCGTCTGGCTCGCCGCGGCGGAGTGAAGCGGATCTCCGGTCTGATCTACGAGGAGACCCGCGGGGTGCTCAAGGTCTTCCTGGAGAACGTCATCCGCGACGCCGTCACCTACACCGAGCACGCCAAGAGGAAGACCGTCACCGCCATGGACGTGGTGTACGCTCTGAAGAGGCAGGGCCGCACCCTGTACGGCTTCGGAGGCTAGACCCGGTCCAGACCCGGTCCAGACCCGCTGAAACACAAAGGCCCTTTTAAGGGCCGCACACCTCATTTAAAGAGTTAATCCTGATCTTATCAACTGCTGAACTAAACTGTCACTTACTGCAGGTTAAATCTGGCTTCTCGGGATGTTCCACTTTTACTGTTAATCACACGCATCTACTCACAAAACATTCAATGGTAAATTAAAATGTTTATTTTTTGAGTTGGCTAAAAGGTCATTATGTTGGACTCAGTAGGTTTCTACAGAATAGTACCTATTATTTAGAAATACCTACGGAATATCTTTATTGTAACCCACTTATATCCTAACTTCACATCTTGCTCCTTGTATGAACGTATCAGTACTGAATTACAGTGTGGATATGATCAATATTAGAATTACAGCCCAGCAAACTCTGTCAGGGACACATTGTGTAACTTGAGCACCTTTTTCTTCTGCTCACTTCATATCAGAGGTTAAAACTACATTTATTTGAGATCTTTATTAATAGTTACTCAGGTATTAATAGTTTTGTTATAATTTAAACCTCCCAACAGTTTTTACAAGTAGAGCTGAAATGTTTGGCTGTTTGACTATATTTATTTTATATATATTTAAACTTTTCATCTTAAACTTCTCACATGTGAGAATTTGCTGCCTTTTTCTTTATTTTAGTTATTTTTGAGGTTTGGACATGAAGCTTTGTGGCATTTCTTACTATTTTCAGAATTTTTACAAACCAAACAACCAGATTAATAAAAATAATTGCTGTTTGCAGCCGATACGGAATATTTCAAAATGAGTTTGTGGCGCATGCTCAGTCTCGTTTAAATCTCAGCCAATCCTGCACGAGGGACAGCGCAGTCTCATTTGCATACAGCTCATTTAAGCGTTGAGCCTGCGCTCCGCTGGTCACTCGTCGACTTTTCCTCCAGAAGTTGAAGATGCCTGATCCGGTTAAGGCTCCGAAGAAGGGCTCAAAGAAAGCCGTCTCTAAGAGCGTCTCCAAGACCGGCAAGAAGAAGAGGAAGACCAGGAAGGAGAGCTACGCCATCTACGTGTACAAGGTCCTGAAGCAGGTCCACCCCGACACCGGCATCTCGTCCAAGGCCATGCTGATCATGAACTCGTTCGTGAGCGACATCTTTGAGCGCATCGCCGGCGAGTCCTCCCGTCTGGCTCACTACAACAAGCGCTCCACCATCACCTCCAGGGAGATCCAGACCGCCGTCCGCCTGCTGCTGCCCGGTGAGCTGGCCAAGCACGCCGTGTCTGAAGGCACCAAGGCCGTGACCAAGTACACCAGCTCCAAGTAAACCCGCTGTTACACCAGCAACACAAAGGCCCTTTTCAGGGCCCCCACTGCTTCAACTCAGAGCTGCCTTCCTCACTTATTAACTACAGCTGATGTCTCTCACTAAACCTCCATGTTTCTCTCTATGCAACACAGAAGTGAGGTCAGACCCCCCCCCTCAGCTCATTAGCTGTTTTCTGACACAGAACATTAGTTTATTGGCTTTTTTAAGAATTCACTTTGTGTAAATAACCGATAAAATAAACTAGCTAGCTGATTATAGACCTGTTATAAAAATAAACCTGCCTGATGTTGTTTATCATTTTATCCCAAATATACTAACCCAACATTTTACTACTTAGAAACTAAAAATCTAAATATAAAAAAGCAAACTTGTTTTCAGGCTCCCCTGACTGTAAATATATATAAATTGAACACAAGAAAAAAAAAAAAAAACAAATTATAAAATATTTTGGTGAAACAGGATATTTTTAGTTCAGGGAGAGATTTTGTGTTGTTGGAATTACTGTGGGGGGGTCTTACCCCTTGTTTCCCCTTGTTGCCCTATTTCTGTTTTTAATTTACAGAATTTGGTGAAAAATATCTTTTCTGAGTCACATGTTTACCAGAAATAATTCATAAAATCAACTCAAACCGCCTTTATTTGCAAACTCATATGATGAACTGGATTCTGGATCAGATCATTACTCACCATGAGTTTTCTCTGAACCAGGAACAAAACTAAACCAGAACCTGCAGACCGAGAGGAAAAATATTACACTCGTTCTCCAAGCGTCAACTGAACTCTCTCGTTTCATTAATGTCAAGCAGTGAACCAATACATATATACATATAATAAACTCAGATTTGTAAGAATCAGTTAAATGTAGTTTGATTTACAGACACAATCCTCCTGTTTAATCAGACGGCAGCAGAATAATAAAATATAAAGTGCAGTAAACCTGCTTCTAGATGACTGTTTATTGAAAGTTTTAGGTGAACTCTTAATTAGTATTTGATAAATATGAGTGAGTTACAGCTGATGTCTCTGTTATTCATTATTTCCCTTCCAGATATTTGGTTTGTCTGTGCAGCGCTTGGGTTTAGACCAGTGGTTCTTCATGTGCACAGGATCTGTTGCATGACAGAAAAAGTTCCACAGCTGCAGGTTCTGTCACTTTTTTGTGATTGTTCCATCAACAGCAAAAACTATGAAACATCATACTGATGATGATGATATACAGATGAATTTTATAATATAAATACTCTGGTTTTAATCACCAGTGAAGTGAACTTTAATCAGTTCACTTCACTACAAGAAGTTCATCTAAACTTCAAGTCCCGAGAACAGACTAACAGACAGATAAATAATACATTTATTTATTTATTGAACTCTACAGATGAAGCAGTTGGATGTAGTCAACGCCCTTTTGATTTAGAGCTTAATCAAGCAAGGCGTAAGCTGTAGCTGCAGGTTTCATGAATAACAAACAATAAACATTATGAAACATCATCCTGATCATTTTAATCAGGACAGAAAAGTGTCTTGAGTTCAGTAAACTCAGGAGCTTCTAGTCCTCTAACTTGCTGCTCTCCTCTGGATCGGTAATCTTTAAATGTGACGGTGGCAGAATCTGAACTTCGTCTAAGAAAAGTTTCTCCCCGTCGGGGAATCGAACCCCGGTCTTCCGCGTGACAGGCGGAGATACTGTCCACTATACTAACGAGGAAGGTGCAGCAACAAGGAGCCTGGACACGTGATATCTTATAGTAGTAGTAAAAACATTTTGTTTGTCTTTCTAATCTACAAAGTTCTTCGTTTTGAATAGCCAAACCCCTGTTGCGCATGTGCAAACGGGATCTGACAGTCAGGTGACTAATTATCATGTTTTACAAAACCTGCAGACAAACGTGACGGAAGCTGAACTTCCATATATGGTTTGGCTAAAACATGTTTCCGCCCGGTTTCGAACCGGGGACCTTTCGCGTGTGAGGCGAACGTGATAACCACTACACTACGGAAACTGCTGTCCTCCTATAAGCACCTCCTTCCCATGATTCTCTACGGCAGCTCTCGTCACTGCGGGTGTCATATGGTTCAACAACAACAACAACAAGTGTGCGTGCGAGGCGTTATTTTTCGTTCCTGTCAGTTTTGACAACTCTGCCTCTGATTGGTTATTACTCGTTGGCTCCTAAACGGATCTGGTTATGATTGATTAAGATTAAGTTTTGGGCGGGGCTAGAGTTGGGGTTAGCCAATCATAGACAGAGTAGGGGGCGGGACTCGACGCAAATCAGGTGTCCATCATCGCGGCTTTTTCTCGGTTTTAAGGTGAATACTGACTTTATTCTGTCAGTGTGCCTTTCAGGAGTAATCCCGACGTGGCTAACGCGAAGCTAACGGCTAAGCTAAGCTAGCACTTAGCAGCGCGGATGCTAACCTTCAGCTAGCCCCTCTGAAGAGAGACTTTCCTCTCAGCTTCTTCTTCTTCTTCTCTTCTTCGGTGTCAAAGGACAACACGACGCCCGGGGTGAGTTTCAAACGGCTGCTTCTGTCCGAGCAACAAGCAGGAACCAAAACATCAACAAGAAACCGGCAAATATTCACATTTAGAAAGCTGGAATCAAAATGTTTTAGCTCCTTTTCTGAACATCGCTGCAGATTATTTCTCTATATTAACTGAGGGTGACCAGACGTCCCCGTGTCCCGGGGACAGTCTCTTAACGGAAGAATCAGAGTTTGCAGTTTCCAGAGTAACCAGGCCGGACGCTTAGTGACTGTTTATAATAACTGAAAATATCTTGTTTCAAAACAACAGGGCCCTGTTTCAGAAAGCAGGCTTAACAGACTCTGAGCCAGGAGCCTGGCTCCAGGCTCCAGGCTCCAGGCTCCAGGCTCCAGGCTCCAGGCTCCTGGCTCCAGGCTCCAGGCTCCAGGCTCCAGGCTCCAGGCTCCAGGCTCCAGGCTCCAGGCTCCAGGCTCCTGGCTCCTGGCTCCTGGCTCCTGGCTCCTGGCTCCTGGCTCCAGGCTCCAGGCTCCAGGCTCCAGGCTCGCTCGTTGTTGAATTTGTACTGTGTTTTACACATTGTTGTTCTTACTTTAAACAAACAAAGGAATACATTCAGTTTCATAGTTATGTATCAGTGTACAGTATAAAATACAGTTGTTAGTTTAAACATAATTTCAGAAACTAGGGCCCTTTTAATTTAAACTTTACACGCAAACAAAAAAATGTCCTTTGCAAAAGCAAACACTCAAAACTTTATAAGCTCTTATAAAAAATGTATTTTAGCATCACATCTTTACACACAACATGCTTAATATGCCAATTTCCATGTGTAGCATGCTGTAAATATACTATGAACTAGAATATCAGTCCATCTGGTGTCACACAGTAAACTGGGATACAGTAAAATATAGTAAAAGGTCATATTTTATTAGTAAAACTCAGCTGTTTCCAGTAGGAAGCCCGGTGTGGATACCTGACCCTGTTTGTGGTACTGTTGCTGTTTTGTGTGATGATGATGTGCAGAGTTTCCCACAGAACCACAGTCATGAAGTCCATCAGTGTTGTTGTAGCTGCTGTTACTTTGTGGAGCACAAGGTGGCAGCAGAAGATAACATCACGCTGAAAAGAGCCTCATCAGCAACATCAGGAAAACGGAGTCTTTGTCTAAAGCTCTCGATTTGTATAATATCTTAAACAGTAAAAATGTGACAAACATAACTTTCATCAGAGTTTGTTATGTATTTTCAGAAGGCACACAAAAATGTATATAAACCAAATTTATTTATTTAAATACTTGCTTTTCCCCCAACCTGCCCTCTAACAATTGTAAATTGTATGTTTCCATCATTCTGAGGCGCCGATGTGGTTTTATAATTTTATAACACAATAAAATCCCAGTAATACTACATAATAACCGATGATTAACTTTATTAGTAGTAGCAGAAGAAGTAATAATGGTGACTCATACTTTAATTCATGATAATTAATATTTATGATACTGTAGTTTTAAATCACGGTTCATTTAAATAACATTACAGATGATAGTAAGAAAGAAAAATAATCGTCAGCCATTTTGATAATTGATTAATCATTTCAGTCTTTTTTCAGAGCAAACTAGCTGCTTTCATCTTGAACAGGTGAACATTTGCTGCTTTTCTTCTTTGGGTTTTAAACTGGTTGGACAAAAGGAGCAGAAGAGACGTCACTTGGACTCTGTGATGAGAGCCGAGTGGATGGAGTTTGCATGTTCTCCCCGTGTCAGCGTGGCTTCTCTCCGGGTGCTCCGGCGTCCTCCCACCGTCCAAAGACCAGGCTGATTGGTTGATTGGTGACCCTGAATTGTCCTTAGGTGTGACTGGTTGTTTGTCTATGTGTGTCTGGGCACCTCGCGATTCCATTTCCATTCAGAGGGCTGCGATTCGATCGATGCATCTTGATACAGGATAATTACTAAGCATTTAATTTGCACATTAAAATCCAAAAGAAACATTTCCTGATTATCTTAAAAGGACTAGTTTGCATCACTAATTTCATTATCAGCTTCATTAACCTCTCAGCTCCATGGTCCCTCATTGGTCCCTCAGACTCTGGAAACTGAAAAATAATAATCAGCTATGTGCACAGGAAGGAGCTGTGCACCAGTTTAGACTCAGCTTGTGCCTGATGTTCTGAGCCTTTGACTAGTAGGTTGGTTAATAATGACACACAGCTGATAATTAATTACTTCGTTACAAATTTAGCTAACGTTACATAAATAAATAAATATTTTTAGCGCCTTTCACGGGACCCAAGGACGCGTTACAGATAGTTACAGTGACAGAACAACAAAAAGTCACTCAGGACTGAATGCCTGGGTAAAGAGCTGGGTTGTTGGTAGATCTTTGAAAGTGTCCAGACAGGGAGCGTTTCAGATCTCTGTGGGGATGAGATTTAGAGGGTGGGGGCTGTGACGCTGAAGGCTCTGTCCCCAAAAGTCCAGAGTCTGGTGTGGGGGCCAGAGAGGCCCTTGTGAAGGGGAGACGCTAACAGCCTTCACTTCTGAATTATGGTTTTACTCCTATGTAACAGTATGTGGCGGTCAGCGTTGATATTGTGGCCTGTCGCCACAGATAACTCAGTGAATGGGAAACTCTGCAGTGTGGTGCAGATTGCAGAGACTGTTTTTATGTCATCGTAGTTCTGATAGTGAGTTTCGCCTTAATATCGGCGCGTGAAAAACCAACCGCCGATCATCCTTTCAGTCGTCGACGAGCGAACCGATCGCCAATCAGAGCAAGTCTAGTCTGCACCATCCAGCTAAACTCCACATACAAGCCGTCAGAGCAGGGGCGTCTTCAAGAAGCTCCTGAAAAGTCTGCAGAGAACACTTCCTCTGAGGGCACCTCCACCTCTAACATGTCTTTTTCTTCTGTCTCACAGTTCTCTTCTTACTTGTATTTACCC